TTTGGAGATATGTCTCCTTCAGGCAGGACTAAAGAGCAAAGTTCTATAGACAGGGGTATTGGACTTACTTCAACACCAATGAGGAAAAGGAGCAGCCCCAGTAAAAAAGGTAGGTAATGATAAAAGACTGGGTTTTGTTATTAAGAAATTAAATTACAAAGTTTTTTATATTATGTGTAGTTTGTGCGGAATAAATAAATTTTTAAAAATAATAACAGTAAAACTATGGCGATTAATAAATTAATTATGCATATATTACAGTATTAAAGATAATTGATAAGAGATAATTAATGCTTTCTTTTTGTGATATTTTTAATCTTGCTTTTATTATTTGAAATAGTATAATTTTACTTTTAGCATCCAGTTCTTCTAGATCGCCTGTGTTTGGGGGTAGGTCTCCTGTTATGTGTAAAGGACTAAGTCCTGCTGCCAAGGGTATAGGGCTTACTTTTCCACCAAAGGAGGCTAGGAACAGTCCATGTGTAAGAGGTAGGAAACGATAAGTGAAAGGACTGAGTTTTAGTGTAAGAAATATATATATATATATATATATATATATATATATATATATATATATATATATATATATATATATATATATATATATATATATATATATATATATATATTTTTTTGAATTTGAATCTGTGTAATAGGAGTTCAAATATAAAAAATATAAAATAGGTTAAAAGCTCAACTGTCTTACATTTTTTCATTACTTTTTTTTTGTTAAGTTGAAGCTGATGCTGAATTTGATATGTGGTGCAATGGAACATTGGGTAGTTCAAATAGGCACAGAAAAAAAGCCAGCGATATGTCTCAAACAGGTATATAGTGTCTATAAGGTCTAGGGTCTGTGTGATCTGACATTGTTTACTTTTTACATAACAAATATACTATCTCGATTACAACATACCATTAAAATTAAACCCTTTCACATTGAATAAGAATTAAACTTCTCATTATTGATTTAAAAAATTGATTTAAACATTTCATGATTGCACGAAAAAAATACTGAATAATTTTAATTTTTTTAGAGATTAATCAGCACATGCTGAATTTTACATATGTAGTCATGGATGCTCTTGATATAAAGAGTGTTCTACCAGAATAGAAAACGACCTCTTAAAACAAACATAGATTTTGCAGGCAATGATAAGGTTGTGGATGATCCAGTATTAGGACGCTTGCCTTTGACCACAAAAGAGCAATATTTTGATTTGGAGGAAAAATTGAAAAACGACTCCTTTGTCAAAAGTTGGGTAAGTTAATACAATTTATATTTTATTATTATTATTAAAGTAAGTTGTTATGTTCAAAATGGAATCTATTATTAAATTTATTAATATTATTAATGTTATTAGAATGTGGGAAGCCTTCATATGCTCTAGCCACATGCTAATATAAATCAAATAATAATTTATAAAAATTTATTCATTTATTTTACTGCAGCTACTGCAACTAGTCAAAGATTTAGTAAACAGCGTATAAAATATTTTCAAGGCTTTGAAATATAAAATAAAAATAAACATTACAAGGGCTTTTGGAAATTTTTTTGTGTGTTTTTATCTTAAGTTATTATTTTGTTTTGTTTTTAAATGTAATCTTGGTTGTTGTTAAGTATAACAGGCATCTAAAAGACCTGCTTAAGAAATCTTTATATGAAATAAACATGTGAAATAATGCAGATTAAGTTTTATTACATATATATTTTATTATCTTATTGGTATAGCATTATTTTTATTATTATGTAAAATCCCAAAATGTTTAAATTTTCTTTAGAAAATGTCCCTTTTGGAACATACAAAGGCACTCTCGTTGACAACATTTGCAACAACGACAGCAGCTAAAATGATGATGAAAGAAATTTTTTCCCAAGATATGTTAAAAAAAATTTGTTATGCTGGTAATAAAACATCTGGAGAGAAGAAGGTGGCAGTCAAGAATGGGAGTGTGTATTTCACACTGATAGGCAAGTAATGATAACTATAAGTTTTTATATAAAAACTTTTATATAAAAACTTATAGTTTTTATATAAAAGTTTTTGCATTGAATATTATTAACTAAATTGAATATATTTTTAGCTGTGTTAAAACATCTGGGCCACAAAGACGTTGTGAAGATTGAAAAAGGCCTAAAAGATGCCATGTTCAAAGCTAACAACAATGTTACAAAAGAGATGAGAAAAACAAAATTTGAATAACATTTATAGATTTGAAATTAAATTTGAATTGCTCTTATAGATTTTGTTTTCTGTTATTTTGTATTATATTTAATTATAATTATTATACTTAGTTATTTGTTATTTGTCGCATATTATATTTAATTATAATTGAATATAATATGTGACAAATAACAAAATACATAACAGTTATATTTAACCTTAAAATTTACTTAGTTGTAAGTACAATACATTATCGGCGTGTATATAGTTTATTATAATTGTGTGTGAGAAAACACAAAGTTTTATACTGCTTAACTCTTTCGTTAATTGTGATG